AATTTTCCCATTATTTTATAGGGCGATGGCCCAAACCCTGCATTTAAACATGCACACATGCACGTGGGCGCACACACACACACATAGTACATGTGATACACTCCATCTCTCTGGAATCATCACCAGAGAACCCTGGAATAAATGACAAAACTGAAAATTCTTTGTGTAGTACTAATGAACCCATGAAGTAGGCAGGCAAACAAAATCCATCACAACAGTGACTATAAAGAGGTAGAGGTATCAGCATCATTTAACATAGCCATTGACAAAATGTACAGCATGGTCGCTGGTAATAGTTTATGTTAAGCCACTCAGTTATAGTGTATGTGCTCAGTTGCATCATGTTTTATTCTTTTTTTTTTTTTTTTTTTTGAGACAGAGCCTCAAGCTGTCCCCCTGGGCAGAGTGCCATGGCATTACAGCTCACAGCAACCTCCCACTCCTGGGCTCAAGCGAGTCTCCTGCCTCCGCCTCCCAAGTAGCTGGGACCACAGGCGCCCGCCACAACGCCCGCCTATTTTTTGGTTTCAGCCGTCATTGTTGTTTGGCGGGTCCGGGCTGGGGATTCGAACCCGCCACCTTAGGTGTACGTGGCTGGCGCCCTAGCCGGTTGAGCTATAGGCGCCGAGCCCATGTTTTATTCTATGTGAACAGGATAATTCTATTCTTACTCCAACTAATGGTATTCATTATTTTATGTAAATAGAATTATTCACATGGAATAATTCTACCCCTATAGAATAATTCTATTCCTATATAATAACTCTCTTCCATTCCAATATATGAAGAAAACACCCCTCTCTTTAAACTTGCCCTCTCCAAAATAAACAACGCCAATTTCTTCAACCACATCTCACTTTCCCTGCTATTCAGGCCTTCTTCATTCCAGCTGCTTCCCCATAGCCACTATAGTTCATAATGTCTCTCTTAACACGTGGCATTTACAATTTAACACAATAATATAAAAGTTTTACTGTACATGTTGTTTATTATATCTCTTAGTCAATAACAGTTTTTATAACTACATTAGGTCTTTCAGTAATTGTATCACAGCACTTCCCTGTCTATGGAATGATCCTAATACTTGATAAATATCTCAGTGACATAGAATGAGAAATTTTGACAGCAATTTTTTCACCAACTTAAAGTTATTCAAGTTAAATTATTCTGTTATCCTTCCTGACTTTATGTCCTTTATATTGGGACATAAAGCACTTTTAAAATGCTAATGGAAGATGGTAATTATTTTTCTTTTCTTCTTTTTTTTTGAGACAGAGTCTCACTATGTTGCCCTCAGTAGAGTGCCATGGCGTCACAGCTCACAGCAACCTCTCAACACTTAGATACAAAAGTTAATCTGGGCTCGGCACCTGTGGCTCAAGCAGCTAAGGCGCCAGCCACATACACCTAAGGCGGCAGGTTCTAATCCCCAGCCCGGGCCCGCCAAACAACAATGATGGCTGCAACAAAAAAATGGCCGGGCGTTGTGGCGGGCACCTATAGTCCCAGCTACTTGGGAGGCTGAGGCAGGAGACTCACTTGAGCCCAGGAGTTGGAGGTTGTTGTGAGCGTGATGCCATGGCACTCTACCCAGGGGGATAGCTTGAGGCTCTGTCTCAAAAAAAAAGAAAAAAAAAAGTTAATCTGGCCTATCTTCTGTTATCATCTAGATACCCAATCCCTTATAATAACATAAAGAATTTGGAACAACCAATCATAACTTCCACTGTTTTAATTCACAGCAGCAAATTAAACCTCCCCATAGGCTCCAGCAAATAAAAGTGCTTCAAAGTTCCTTAACACTAATTCACCAGAGTTCTTAGTTTCCCTTATCCATTTCCCACTTACCTTTATGATCCTAAATAACACTCAAACCCAACCAATCTATATATCAAATTAAGACAGACTTAGGATGGCAGAAACATACAATTACTCCTTGTAGTCTAGATTATCAGCCAACTATTTGAACTAAAAACACCACCATCTAGTATAGAAGATAGCAAATTAAGCCCACAGGCCAAATCAAGCTCACCATCTTTGTATGAATAAAGTTTTATTAGAACAAATTCACATTCACTTGATTACACATTGTCTATGGCTGTTTTTGTGCTACAAAGGCAAAGAAGAGTACTCAGGACAGAGTCTATATGGCCTGCAAAGCTCAAATCATTTACTATCTCGTCCTTTATAGAAAACACTTACCAACTCCTAACCTAGGGGAATGAACTATTTGCTACCAGAGCAGTATTTGAGATCTGTAACAACCACCATTAACTAGCTTGGGACACCAACCATTCATATAGAAACACCTAAATATAAATACTGAAATCTGAATAGTTCTTTATCCTAATCTGTATGAAGACTTGTTGCCCACCCAAGACAAGAGCACTTACTTACCTGTACAATGAGCTATTCTTTAACATACATCTCTCAAGGATTCCCTAGTGAAATAGTGAAGAATCCATAAATATGCTGCTCTGAGTAATTGAAGGTTTAAAAAAAAGTTGATACAAAACACTCAAAAGTATATAACAAAGAAACAACTGTATGGAACTACATAATAATTTCCTTTACATTTTAGATTCCAAATACAAAACACGTTTAAAGGCACTTAAAGTAGAAAAGCTTAACAATTTATGTGATATTAACTGCATTAAATAATGCAAATTAATTTCCCTTTTGTGTTAAATAACAAGAGTTTCATTTTCATGGATATAAAGGAGAAATCAAAAGATAATACCTCTAATGTGTCATGTAGATATTTAACATAAGTGACATCACCATCTCTAAAAAACTTAAGTCAGGACATCAAAGTACCTTAAAGCTAGAAAATACTTAAGAGATCACCTCTACATTTTACAGATGATAAAGTTTCAATGTGACACGAATATTAAGTTCAGAGAACTAATTAGTGAATTAGTGGCAGAAACAGAACTAGAACTCAACAGTCAACTATCAGTTTGGAACACCTTACTTTTACAAAAGTAGAACATGTCTTCTATGAAAGGCATGTTCCTATTCTAGAAAAGTGTAGAGTGATGGTAAAATATACCAGAGGTTATTGGTTTTTGTTTGCTTTGAAATAAGGTGTCACTATGTTACCCAGACAAGTCTTGAACTCCTAGGCTCAAATGATCCTCCTGTCTCAGCCTCCCAATTATCCGGGACTACACACATACAACACCTTGCCTAGCTTCTAGAGTTTTAAGACTAGTAAACATACTCCTAAAAGTACAGTCCACCCATGTAGGCAACCCTCTTGTCTTTTTTATATAAACTATAAGATTATAAAAGACCAAAAAAGATTAATTATAAAGCAACTCTTATTAGAATGATCAAATAAACAACCAATTATTTGTTTAACAAATTTTTCAAAAAGTTAGAAAAAATAATGAAACTATTGAAGGGGCAGTATGATGGGTACTCATACATTGCTAATTTGGTACAATTTTTCTGAAGGGTAATTTGGCAATATTTTAAAGAACCTAAAAAGTTCTCACTGTCGAAACCACTTATTCCATTTCCATGAATACATCCTAAAGAAAGAGTCTAATATAGAGTATAAATTTTACATACAAGTATAACCATCCCACTATTATTTATAATGGTGAAAGATCAGAAACAACCTAATATCCAAAGAGAGAAGAAGTGTTAAATTATTGTATCGTAATACATTAGAATATTATGCAGCCATTTGCTAAAATCACATTTTTAAAGACATGAGAAAGTACTTATGATATGAAGTTAGGTAATAAAGAACAGGGTACATAACTATATGGTCAATATAATCTCAACTGTGCTATTATATACACACACACAAACACATATACACACACTCATAAATAGCATAGACAAAGACTGAAAGGAAATACAAAAAAATATTAACAGTGTTATCTCTGGGTAGTGAGATGGCAGAAAATTTTTTTTCTTCTTTATACTTTTTAGTATTTTTCCAAATTTTCTATAACAATCATGTTATTTTTATATTCAGATAACATTTTAAAAATTCACTCTGTAGTCACTTGGGAAATTTTTATAGTCCATTTTAAACAAGGAGGATTTAGAGGACTCAAAAGTAATCTAAGAGATGGAAAATAAGTCACTAATGTGTAAGAATATAATTTCCACACAAACATGGGTAGGTAATTTTGAATCGAAAAGGTAACATTATTTCATCTCACTCTTGAGTGTAGAAAGTTGAAATTTAATAAATAAGGAATGCAAATCTTTAAATAACTGGTGCAAGGCATCTACAAATCGTTTGCTACTCTGGTATAACACTGAAGACACAAACGCTCTCCAAGGTGATGCAGACACCTAGTGTCAGATAAAAACAGGTATAATGGAGTACATGCTCAGGAGCCAAATAATTAATTCACTGAATTACATTTTTTCTTTCGCCAAAGTGAGTAGAATTGGTCTATGCTAAACACAGGAAATAATACAACACCATACCATTATTTTAGTTGGAAGAGCCGCACCAAAATTTGTGACAAAAAAAATTATGAAACTGTAAGAAAATCCAGTGATTTAATGTTGTTGTTACTGTTAACGATTTCTTGCTAAAAATTCAAGTGAAAGACCCAAATTGCTTAAAGTATTAAAAAAGCATAGCAGTGTATGCGCTGCAATGATCTGAAAAACTCTAAGAACACCCTTCAATGCTTCCGCGTTTGCAGACTATCAAATATGATCTTTGAAGGACTACATCTATGTTCTTTTACCAATCTTGAATATACATTCTATTACGATATAATGATATAAAGGAATGTTACACACAAAAAGGCAAACTGCATTTAATTTTAAAAGTCAACTTTAAGATTATGTGATTCTAATTTCTGTGGTTAAAAAAATCAGATAAATATGTAAAATATAAAATACATCCTAATATATTTTTACATAAGAGCTGAGGTTTACCATTTTTAACAAAAATTCTGAGATGGAATTATTAAAAAACGATTTTCAAATATACCACAGAGCAATAAGTTTAAATCAGACTATTTTGAGTTGTGTAGCCCTTTATTAGCAACTAAAATAGAAGGTATCTGTTGTACAACACGGGTAGTAATTGACTATAACTGGAGATTTATTATATTCTAATACAGATCATTTATAAATGCAATTTCTTTATTAAAAAGCTTCCACCTTTTTTTGTTTGTGTACAATTTGCAAAACTATTCTGAAAGCGGAATATATGTGCACAAGTCTGCAAAGAGTGCAAATTTAGGATATGGGAAATGCTTTACAAGTTACTCTCAAAAAACTGTCTGCCACAACTGGGCCTTTACATTATCATCTTTTTTGATCAAAATATTTTGATGCCAGCCTTCCTTCCACTGCCCTAAACTATAAAGCATTTTTTAATGAGTTGAAATTAAGGAAGGACTACACCTACTAGAAAAGAAGAAAGTTCTATTAGTTTGAGGTTTCAGAATCCCCCCAAACCAGGACCAGTATCTTGGTAAAGGCTAGGCTGGGACCCCGGACAGAATATGAGAATGTGCAGGTGGCATCCCTGAGGATTCAGAGCTTCAGTGGACCGTGAGCGCTCCAGCTGCATAACTCACAGAACTGTCTTGCCAGTTTCTACACTGGCTTGACTGGGCATAATTCAAAAAGGAAAAGCTCATATTCATTCCATTCTTCTGGAGCTCTGTGATAGCCTAGAAAAAGAAAAATTTGGTTAATACAGATATCACATAAAAAAGTAAACATTCTTTGAATGTTATTTGACTCTCTGCACTTCACGGTCAAAGCCTAGATTGATTACTCTTTCACTTTTCTATTCCTTGGATTTCTCACTGCATCATATTAAGTAGAAAAGAGAATTAATTCCTTATTTCGTTCTCTCAAACAACTTCTCATCTAGTTTCTTGATAATTAAGTATCAATCATAATCTGCCCTACTTTTCCCTATAAGTAAAAGGGTCACTTTTTAAACTTTAAAAATTTCTCTCTATTCTATAAACCAAATCCTAGCCATTCTGTCTTAATATGTTGGATATTTTTTTTCTTTCTCTGACTTTAGCTAAATTTGAAATATATATAAATTGAATTGCAGATTGAAGAGGTAAATGCTAATATTTTTACTTCAACTGTGGACTGGTTCAGTGTTTATTTCATAGGATAATTTTTATTTGATTCAATTTAGACTTTAAGGGATTCATACAGTTTATCCTAGCTTAAATTTCAGAAATTAGGTTAAGCTTTCAAGAGTCTTTTCTTTTAGTCAATAAATACTGCTTAAGAGAAAAACACACACTATACTATCGTTCAAATCCCATCAAAATGACACTAGACTTCACCCTTCTACATTATTTCCCTGCCTCTCCAAACAAATGAGCCTAAGATTCCTTCTCCCTCTCATTCCTAAGCATCCACCCTGAAATATTAGAGAGAGTCATGTTTTCTTTCAGGAAATCCATACTGTTTTATTTATTAGAAGAAAAATTAATGTTATATCTCTTCGTAAAATCCAGCTTACCAAAACTTCTGTCTCTTACCTTTAAATAAACATTACAATCTTTAATGAGTTGAAATAAAATGAAATAAATATTATCATCTTTAATGAGATGATTAAAGATAAAATAAACATTATCATCACTTAACAAGAAAAACATGTCATCTGTCTTGCTTTATTAGATTATGAACGTCTAAAGTCCAAAAGCAAGATTTTCCATTCATTTGTTATACAGTCTAGAACACTAAGCAAAACCCCCAAAGTAGTAAGACTATGTCTCTTGAAAGAACACTTTGATTTCTATTTGTAAAAGACATATTGGGACTAAGAGTCAAGAGAAAATACAGGTCTCTATTGTAAATAACTCACTGCATTAAACACAAAGTATTCTGTATTCCAGTGATAAATAACTTTATTCAAGTAACCAAAAAGAATGGGAATCCAAATTATGTTAAAGGTACTAGAAAGAAACTTAAAAAAACTTGACCAATAATAATGAGTCACAGTAATAACGATTAAAATTTTTGGAACATCAGATGATCCAATATTAAAGTGAAAGTCCCTAAGGATACTCACATTCAATAACACCCCAATGGGATGTCTTCCACATATAGTATTATGGTATTTCTTCAAGTAATTGCTAAAAGATACAGGGTCTAATTGTTCTATAATACTCATACCCTAAAAAAAAAGAAGAGGAAAACAAAAAAGAGAGAGAGGAAAAAATTTATTACTTCCTAATTATATTTTAAAATTGTTAGAGCTTAAATAATTTTTAATTAAGGAGACACAAAAAAAATATTAAGTGTTATAAAACATCAAACTTATTCATCAAAAGTAATCTCATCACAGTCAACTTTCTATTAACAGAAAACTTCTAGTCTCTTGTTTATTTTCTCTAATCTCCAGGTATCTTTCCAAAACTACCTTTACTAGATGTCATTTAGCTTATGATCCTCAAAAAATATATAATTTTATATTTCCCTTCTATAGAGAATATTCATATAAGTAAATATGCTGTGAATTTTCTATATGAAATCCAGAATTAAATCTAATTTATAACTGATTTTCCTTATATCTGCTATATTTTTCCTGTCACTGGCATGAAAAAAATCAAGTTAATGGCTCGGCACCGGTAGCTCAGTGGCTAGAGCACCAGCCACATACACCAGAGCTGGTGGGTTCAAATCTAGCCGAGTTTGCCAAACAACAACGACAACTACAACCAAAAAATACCAGGCATTGTGGCAGGTGCCTGTAGTCCCAGCTACTTGGGAGGCTAAGCCAGGAGAATCACTTTAGCCCAAGAGTTCGAGGTTTGCTGTGAGGTGTGATGCCACAGCACTCTACCCGGGGGGACAGCTTGAGACTCCGTCTCAAGAAAAAAAAAAAAAATCAAGGTAACTGCAATTCAAACATTTCCATAGTATATACTTCAATATCAACAGAGTATAAGGTATTTTAAACTACCAGTAATAAAAATGCCACAGAACTAAGAAAACAGTTAATATATTTTTATTAATTTAATGCTCATGAAAGAATGATAAATGTTTAAGCAATAAACTTATGAACAAGTTTAATAAAGGGAAGTTTATCACTTTATACTTTAAACTAGAATGTCTTATTTTCAAGATTTTAATTCAGAATAAAAAATTTTTAAACTACTATTAAAGTAACCACTATGACTTGAATGCTTATTTAAAATAAATTCTGTATTCTCCAAATATATTCAAATAATGTATTTATAATTCATTAATATAGAGAAAATTTAAGTCACCAAGTCAGGGACATAAACCACTGATTTTAACTAATGCGTTCACCAATTACCTTACATTATTTTCTTATTCAGGTAAAATACTTTGTTTGTGTTCAATAAACTGAACTGATATCCTCATGGAAAAATGTAAATGATCATTCAACTGGAGATTTAACTGATATATTCTGTATGATTTTTAAATTTCATGTTTTAACAGAACAGGCACAGTATATAAGCACTGAGAATAATCAAATGAACACCCATGATTTAAAAAGCATCTGAAAAGTTACAATAATCAGTAGGTGACATGCAAATTTTGCAGTAACAGCATCAAAGTTTAATTTTATAAAAAAAAAACTTTTATCAGAATACTCAAGTCTTTCTTAAATAAAATCAATTTTCCTACAAAATCTGAAAGATAGCCACATACATGTGTGATCAACTCCAGAGATGAAGGAGGAACTGGGACATAAAAAAGTCAAAACTCTGGCTCTAAATTTCTAATCGCAAATGTTTTCTCACTGACTACTCTGATTCATTACAGTTTATTTAACAAGAGTCATATTAACAATTCTTTGAATATCCTCACGCAGCTACAATCAGCTTACACATATTGTAAAAGAAATTGTAATGCTCCTGAATGAAGTCTAGGACAGCTTACCTTAAATAGAATTCTATGCATTAATAAACTATGTGACAATGAGATTCCAATATACATTTTAATATTAAAATCTCAACACATATTCAAAAAATTATCACATTTATATATTGATATGAATTCAGAGAGAAGAAAACTAATGATCACATTTATAGAAGAAAAAATTCAAAGTAATTGGCCAAGAAACCATTTATAGAAAAATACAGAGTCATATGTAGAGAATACACTACTAACTGGAGTTCAAAATGAAGATAAATTGGTCAAATTACAACAGGGAAAATTAAAAACTGAGATGATGAAAGTTAAGGAATTAAATATGTTAAAATTTTAATTCCTTAAGGTATGCTATGTACACACTAGGGCAAAACTCAATTCCATTACACTCAATTCTCTGACAAATATGATGATATAAAAGAAATGCCTATAAGAGGAAATTAAGGCTTATTCTTACAGGTGAACTTCTCCAATTGGAAAATTCATGAAGTATGCAAATAGAAACAATAATAATAAAATTTAGAAACGGAGCATTCATTAACTAACATTAAATACTGGCAAATACACCATTTATATATACTTATGTTTTGATGCTAATAATTGTGAAATTACTGTTACCAAAATTCCAAGGCAGCAAAAATACTAGTTCAAAACTATTGCCAAAATTCTAAGAAGATGAAAAAGAAAGTGCTTCCCCAAATATGCCCTAACTTTTCTATGCCTTAAAAAACTGGAAGATCATATCAGTGGGTCCAAAGTGCAGGCAATGGGCTCAGTGATCCATAGCTCGGTAGTCAAGGTGCCTACCACATACCCTGGGGCTGGCGGGTTCAAATCCGGCCAGACCTGCTAAACAAAAATGACAACTACAACTAAAAAGTAGCTGGGTGTTGTGGCGGGCGCCTGTAGTCCCAGCTACTTGGGAGGCTGAGACAAAAGAATCACTTAAGCCCAAGAGTTTGATGTTGCTATGAGCTGTGATGCCATGGCACTGTACCCAGACATAGTGAGACTCTGTCTCAAAAAATAAAATAAAATAAAGTGCAGGCAATGGAAAGCTTCCTAAGGCCTAGTATAGTGAAAATGTGATTGTTCATATAAACTTAACCTAATATGGAGCAGTAAAATGGGTTACTACCCATTCAGCTCTAAGACATAAGGTATACATTGTAAATAGAAAAGCCTATCCAGCAAAAAACATGGGTTTCTGAGGAATTTAGCATTTTCAGCAGAAAATTCAAAGATTTAAAGTTAACTCTCTAACTTTGGGGATGGGGTAGGGGAGTGTGAGCAAACCCGTCAATGTGCTGACGCTACCAAGTAACAGGTGAAAGCTTGTGCTGTCAAATCCCAAGAGACAATCCTAAACTATTAACCAACAGAGCTGCAAATTCAGGAGGACTCTGATGAGACAGCAAGTATCTTCCTTTTTAAAAAACAGCTGATCTACATTTAATAAAATGTTAATTTAAAAATCAGCACCCTGAAGTAACTCTCTCCCTAAAGTAACAAACACAAAAGAGTAGCAAAACTGTTTCAGAGACATTTAAGAAACAGCTAGAAACATGTCTTTTAATCATTAGAATTATGAACTCCTATTTTAAACTAAGGGTACATATTTACACTTGAGGAGGGGAATACATTTAGGGAGGTGAGATGGGAAAATATTCCAGTTTCTTTAAGAGACAGACATAAAGATAAAATAATAACAGTAAAAAAATTCCATGGGAAAATATCCTAAAGATAGCAGTACTAAGAAGTAATGTAATAATGCTCTGAAGCCTACTAAGTAACCACTGGTCTAAGTTCAAGAAAAAAGAAGTAGGAGGTGACAAATATGAACAATTTTCACTTTCAAAATGGTAGGAAGAAAAGAATAAAAGAAGCTGATGTTCAAATTAAATGAAGTGACTAACAAATTTTAAAGAAAAAGAAATTATAATGACTACAATTGACATTTTCAGATAAAATCTTTGCCAAATCACAAATAATTTACCAATGTCCATAATGAAACATTGGTCTACACCCAAAAAGTGGTAAAATAAAAATAACATGCAACCATGTGATATATATAAAATATGTATTAGTATGGCCAATATTTCAAATAAATAATCCAAAGTCTACAAAATCAAAATTTTAAAAGATGTTCTGCTTCAGTCACAGTAATTATTGAAACTGCCAAGTACTAATTACAAAAAAAGAAAATGGTCTGCAGCCAATAAAATTACAAGCCCTTTCAGTATCCACATTTCTTATACTACACATTTAACATTTCTGTCACAACATTTTCAAGATAGTTCGTTTCCTAGATATTTTCTTTAAGAATTTTTTTTCACATTATTAATTTTCAAGATATAAACATTTTGCAATAAAGAACAAGCAAATATGGCTCAGCGCCTATAGCACAGTGGCACCAGCCACATGCACGGAGGCTGAGGGGTTCAAACCCAGCCAGGGCCTGCTAAACAACAATGACAACTGCAACAACAAAAATAACCAGGCGTTGTGGTGGGTGCCTGTAGTCCCAGCTACTTGGGAGGCTGAGGCAAGAGAATCGCTTAAGCCCAAGAGTTTGAGGTTGCTGTGAGCTGTAATGCCACAGCACTCTACCAAGGGTGACATAGTGAGAGTCTATCTCAAAAAAAAAAAAAAAAAAGAACAAGCAAATAAAAAAAACAATAAAAACTTTGCTTCTGAGACTTAGAAAGGTTTGTTTATTAGCATTTTAAAGACTATATTTGGTAAAAACTTTTCTGATTAAAAAAAAAGAGTCAAAACTTAACATACTAATTTTGAACAGATACGATGTAAAATTGTACACATGGCCAGGCATGGCCAAAGCTGGTGAATTTTGTGAGCTCATGAGACCAGCCTGAGCAAGATCTATAACCGGGTGTCATGGCAGGTGCCTGTAGTCTCAGCTACTCTGGAGGCTGGGGTAGGAGAATCACCTAAACCCAAGAGATTGAGGTTGCTCTTAGCTATGATGATACCATGGCACTCTACCCAGAGTGACAGAGTGAGACTCTGCCTCAAAATAAATAAATAAATAAAAATTTTATATAAATTTAATTTTAAACTTTTTACTCTATCAAGTTTTCAAAATGTATACTTATTGCAATTCAGAACAGCTAAATTTTTTTGTAATACTTATAAGAGAATCATCCAAGTATATTTTCTCTGAAAAGAATTGCACATAAAAAGTAAGATGCTGGTTCTCAAATCATTTAGAATATAAAATGACTTCTTACTATGAAGTCTGACTATATAAGC